GGGTTTGGTTGAGGTCGTAATGATGATGAAAATGATAGGTAAAATGATAAAATCACAAGAAGAAAATAAAGGAATGCTATTCCATAGAAGACTATATAATTGGCTATTATATAACACAATAGAAAAGATATCCATTGGATAAAGAACAATATAAGAAAAATCCATTTGATAAGTTTCTTTGAGATTGTATGAAGTTTTGAAACATTAAGAATTTCATCAGAGTGGAACAACAAAGTCAAAGATAATTTGACATCATTAGATGGATACAATACACCAGATAGATCAGTATGAGATGACGATGGAAAGAGAAAGTAAAAAGGATGAAGATGATGTCTGAAAGATATAATTAAAAGAAGTAAAGAAGAAAGAAAGCATTGAAGAAAGGGAGATAAAAGACCAAATACTACTTGAACAGAAGAGAAGACAACTACTTTAATGAAAGTGAATTGAGTTAAGAAGGGGCAAGTGTCAATTGGATAAAAGATAATTTTGTTTGAAAATGACTGTAATAAAGATAAATACATGGATTGTATGAAGAAAGAATAATACATTAAGTACTAAAGAAGAAATGTATAATAATAAAGTCAAAAAAAACATTTAATGATATTAATACTTGAATAATATTATTTCATTATAGAATAAAAGAAAGTGATTATTATCAAACTATCAGAACATTATAGGTAAATAACTGAATAAATGAAAAGAACTATTCAATTATTTTTAACAACTATTTTAAATAATTATTTAATAATATTATTATGTAATTATTACATTTTCAATTTGATTTATCTGTTTGTTTTTCATTATTTGAATGATTATTAATGTTATTGTCTTTTTATTCTTTTTCATTATAATAACCTTCATTATTTTTTTTCATTCTAAGATGTATTTCTTTTGAGTTAATCTATTAAACTATCATTTTGATGTAAGTTCAGACTTTTCATAGATTTTTTTCTGTAAAACACTCATGCCACTTAATTAATTCTACTACTCATAAAACATATATTCATTCAATCATCTAATTAGTATTTGTTATATTTGATTAATTCTTTATGTTAATAAGTTCTAATAATTTCTAATTAACCAAGAGTTATCTTCTTATGTTTGTTTATCACAAAATTATTTTATGAAAAGTTCTTTTCTAACACATCATAAACAATAGGTGATTTCCAACTATTTAAAAGTACATTGTTTTTGTCTTTTAATTTTAATTGTTCTCTTCATCTTTCCTTTTTCATCACTAAATAGATGTTGGTATGAAATATTTTTATTAATTCAGACGTTTTTATTCGCAATTTACTTTTTATTACTTGATTGTTTTATTCATAGTAATAATGCTCTGTTATGATTGTTAATTTCAACCCTTTATTAAAAGATATTCAATATTCCAATGTTTTGTCTCTGATTTATCTATTCAAAATAATACCAACAATATCTGTAATGGTTATTGTCATCACTTTCTGTATGAGATCTAATTGTTAAAATTTCAGAGATAAAACTTTTCTTTTCAATTCCTCTTTCATAAATGAAAAAGGTGTTTATGGATCATTCAAAACATCTTACCAATACTTCCAATTTCTTGAATCCTCCTTCTTAAACACTTTTAATAATTTTCTTTTTTCTTCTTCTTGAATTTTTATGTGTTTTGAATATTACATTAGATTCATACTCATAGATGATTAATTCATTTATTTCTATTTTCAAGCTCTTTCAATTCTTATCAATTTATCATTTTTTTTATTTAACTTGTTTTGTTGTTAATTTATTTTTCATTGTTTATTTATGTTATTTCTTTTTTCCCTTTCTCTGTTATTTCTTAATCACCATGACATCAACTCAATTGATGCTATATCCTTCTTCTAATTATTTGTTTAACTAATAAACCCAATTTGTACTTATCATTAACCAGTTTCATTAGATTTTGTACATAAAGTACTTGACATTATCTATTTAACCATTTCTCATCACTACCACTGTCTTGTAGTTCTGGTAATACCTGTTTCTCCTCTTCATTATTTCTTTCATCATTTAATTTCCTTCTTCTCTTTATTTGTGTGATTTCTTCTTTTTTTATTCTTTCCTGAACTTTATTTATTTAAAAACACTCACTTTTCTATTTAGCTTCTGTCATTTCATGTACTCTCTATCTGATAAATAAAACTACTTTCACCTCTTTCATCTTTTTGAATTCCATTAGTTCACTATGTATTTATTAATTCTTTCATTGAAATAAGGTTGTAAAACCTTCAAAAGTAACTCAAAATAAAATAGATTAATTAATTAATGTAAACCACTTCACTCTTTAACTCTTTTTCATGTGGCTCTTCACTTTTGTCTTTATATCCAATGGCAATAGTTAATAAGAGGACTTCGTCATCACTACAACCCAATCCCTTCAACCATGGTTCTGGTGTTCTTCTCATAATTCCTAGAGGTAATCCCCCTAATCCAAGCATTTCACAACAAACAAGCATATTTTGTGAAGCAAATCCACAGTCAAATTCAGCCCATCTCATCATATCCTTTTTGCATGTCATAGTAATCGCTACAGGAGCACCGTAAGTAATTTGGTTATTGGCCATCATTGCGTGTTCTGGGGATTTTCTCATTGCTTCCTGTGTTTCTTTAACTAATTTTTGCAATAACTCTTTATTCTGAATTACATGAAAAATCAATTCTTGGTTGTTTCTTCCTGTGGGTGCAAACCTTCCTGCTTTAAGAATTTGTTCAACTTTTTCTCGTTCAACTTCTCTATCTTCAAATTTTCTACAAGACCTTCGATATAGAGCTTCCATTAGTTTTTTTAGTTCATTTTTTTTCTTTAAAGTTCTAATCCTAAAAGTGTTTTAATTTACTCTTCTTTGTGAAGAGTGACTGGTTTCTTATTTTATACCTCCTATAACAGAAAAGTTTATAACATCTCTGACAATAATTTATAACAAAATAAGATAAGTTCTAGAATCTAATTATGAATAAATTTTTAATTTTTTAATATACATTATTTTGATAATCTTCTACTTATATTTATAAGTACTTCTTAATACTGACAGAATTGTATCTGTCTTTTTGAAAAGTTATTTGCAAGTTTTGGTAATAAATTATCATTTGCAATAGTTATAAGATTCAATAAATTAACCTCTCACATTTAAATATATAAACATGACCAAAAGAAATGAACTTCATTAAAAACATATCTACTAAACAAAAGAAACTATAAACAAAAAAACAATAATAAATATTCTATGTAGTATACAATAATAAGTGTTCTAAAAATAATATAGATGATTGATTAAACCTAACAAAATCTTTCATCCTCAATTTTAAAATTCATAAATAACAATCTTCAGTTTGATTTCTTTATCTTTTGTTTCTTTGATTATTCTTGTTTAAATTCTAAAGTATTATTCTTCATTTTTGAGAAAAGTTTTATTTTATATATATAATATATAAATTTCAAATTCTCATCAAAAAATATCAGTAAAAAAGCACAAGCTTAATTTCTTGTTTATATCTCACACTACCTAGTATTTTTTTGTAAAACATTATCTCATGTTTAACTCACTTTAAGAAAAAGAGTATTAATTTTAAAAGTATCAAACAATACTTTTTAATAATTATAAAGCTCAGCTTAAAATTGAAAACCGAACCCTAAGAATTTATCCTATTTTATAGAACCCGGTCGATAATCTCCGAAAATGATATTAAAGAAGTTCTTATATTTTCAGGAAATCCGGAGAGAAAAAAAACGGGTTGATATAAGAGCCTCAAATCGATATTAGAATTTGACTAAATAATACAAGAAAAAAAAAAGAAAAAATAAAATCGGGTTGATGCGGAGAATTGAGAAAATGAACTTAAAAGTTGGATTTAAAAACAAGCAATGAAACCATCGAAAAGAAACGACAAAACTATTAACAAAGTGTTTAAGATTAAAAGGATTATTCAAAAAATTAATCCTCCTTCTATTTATCCACACAAACGGTTTTACGTAAAAATTCAAGATATAATCACACAAATAGGAGAAAATAACTATTATAATGCATTAGAAAATATTAACCAATTATTGCACAATTGTTTCAATAAATTATTACATAACAAACAACAAGAACTAAGTGAAAAAATATTATACAATTTATCTAAGTATGGTATGACTGTTAAAAATTGGAAAGAGTTCAATATCACAGTTAATGAAGAAGTTATACAAAAAAATGTTGTAAACAAATTTATTACAAATCACAGAAGAGATGAAATTGTTTTGGAGGCTGTATTTGTAGAAAGTGTAATTAAATTTATGAAACAGTTAGAACTTGATCCAAAATATTTAAAAGAATTAGAAAGACATACTATACCACTAGAAAAATGGAATCCCATATTTGATCTCAATTTATTTAAAGAAATAAAAGAAAAGGGAAATTTTATGTATTATCAATACTTAAACAATTCAACAATAAATCAATACATCAAAATTAACTTTGGAATTCAACATCCAGAACAACAAATTGATTTCTTACGTCTTCGAATAAATTATTTAAAACTTCTCTATAACCTCTATTAAAAAAATATGTATATATGTACTTTACTTAGACCAATGAATTTAAACCAAAGTGAGAGTAAATGAAATTCAATATACCTTTCTCTCAATGGAAGTCTTGAGAACCTTTATGAACCGCAGTACGTGCTGTCATTTGACAAGCAACTTTTGCAGATTTCTTTAAACGACTATCACGGGTTTTACGATATTTTACTGTTTTTTTTGATAATTTATTCAAAGTCTCTTGTGCTTTAGCATAAGCAGCTGGGTTGTATGGGGAATTTTCTGCAATTTGATCATCAAGTTCATCCATAGCAACAAGTTCAAGATTTGTTTCATCCGAAAAGGTAAAAGCGAAAGAGAAAGAAATGATTAAAAGAAGAATAAAAGACATTATAGTATTTAATAGTTTTTGGGAACTATTTTATAATAAGAATAATAAAAAACTAAAGAGTACTCAAGAATTAAATTAGAATAATCTAATAACGTTTTGATTGATTTTTTCTTTTTGGTCTTGGGCAATACATTCACCAATCCACATTATATTTCTTACTTCTTGTTCTTTTAACTTCAGCCATGAATAAAAAACACCATATCCCATTTGAGTATAATATGCACTCTTATTTATTTCTACTTCTTCATCAAAGAACATTTCTTCTAATGAACGTTCACCTGCATCATCTGCAGCATGTAAATTCATTAATGCTTTATATGTTGGAACATATTCAACAGCTTTAACAACACCTTCCATATCAGTTGCAGCAGCTAGTGCATTCATTCCAACTGGATAAAGTAAACCAACGTTTGGGAATAATTTCATACGATCATCACGACTTAAATCTGTTCCAAAAGAATTCAATGTAATTGTGATAGCCCTTCTATCAGCTTCATAATTTAAAATATCACCCATAACACGAGCTGTTTCTCCACCAAGTTTTTGGCAAAAAGCATAAAATTCTTCCAAATAACCTTTATACAAAGTATTTCTAATAATTTCAATGTTTAATTCTGTTAAATCTTCTTCACTTAAACAATCACTAAGATAATTTCCTAATGGTGTATCAATAAGAATGTAATGATATAAATCATTTACTGTTTTAGTAATAGAAAGAGATTCAATATTTTTAAAAAGACCTAAAGGATGTAATTTTTCTTTTAATTCATCCATTTCCTTTTCCCCTTGAGTCCCAGTAATAAGTAAAATAACGTTATCGATCATATAAGGAATTGTAAGAAATTCCATAAATTTACTTAATGGATAATAACTTTGTGATTGAATAGTAAAAAAATCAGAAACTAATTTATCAGTGCACCTTGCTTTAATAGTAGATACAGTAATTGGTGATGGTTCGTTTTGAAATACATCTTTATAATCACTATTTAGTAATGCCACCTTCATATCTTCAAGTGTGTTTGATTGTGTTAATGTTGTATAATCAGTTTCGTTAAGAAGTCCACTTTTTAATCCCCTAACGAAGGCTTCAAGAAAGCCATCATCCATATTGAATGTCCATAATCCACCAAGCATTTCTGTAATTTTTTAAGATGAACTATATTTTCTTTTTTTCTTTTTAATTCTTCTTTTTTTTTTCTTTATGATTAAAAAATGATTTAACAATTTTGTGCAGAGTGATATGTTTTTGCATTAACACCACCCCTTCTCCTTTTCCTGAAATCCGTTGGTTTACAAAAAACAATAACCAAAACTATTTCTGTATTTTTCTTGTATTTTATATCCTCAAACTATCAATTTAATTTTACTTTTAAAACAAATTATAAATTTCTCCTTTTGTTAAGAACATAAACAAATAACAAAAATATTACTTCTATTAATATAATGAATAGTTAAAAAGTTTAGAAAAACTTTTTAAACCTAAGCGATATAACTTATTTGTCCCCTTGTTTTTTAAAGACTCAAACAATCATTATTATCTTTAAAAATGTTATTTTATTGTGAAAGATAATAAGAGAGTGTTTAAATCTCTCATATAAAAAAAGTAAATTAATAGATAAAAAAGAAGTTCAGTTAAGTTAATGATATTGATTCAAATAATTTTTAAAAAATTAATAAGAAACTTATTAAATTAAGAATTTATTTAATTGAAAAAAAGCACAAAAAAATTGATGTAATTTTCATTAGAAAAACTCAATAAAATAACATTAAAAACTAATATTTATTCATTCAAATTCAAAACTAATATTTATTCATTCAATTATATGAGAGTCGTTCGTCTAGAAAATGTTTTTTTAAAGAATGTACTATTCTATCTAGAAACATTAGATGATGTGTGTAATTTTAATCAAATAAATAAAAAATGTGGAGAAGCAATAGCAACAGTGTTCATTAATCCATTCAAATTAAGCCAATTTTACACATTCAGTCAAATTAATAAAATATTTCCAGTACTTCAAACGTATTATTGTGCAAAATCTTTCTGTACACCAAAAATGATAGAAGCACGTAATATGCCATTAATGGAAATTGGAGCATGGGATAAAGGATTACCTACAACAGTCTTCTCAACAAAATGGTTTGCAGAAAAAGTTAGAAAAGTAAGAATAACTCAACCTATTATTCACTCCTTTATTAAAGGAATTAACAATTATACAAATCTTATTCATCTAACGATAGAAATTGAATACAAACAAGTTAGTATAGTAGAAAAGATAGTTGAAATTAAATCACTACAAAAAATTATCATTTATTCAAATTCATTCTATATTCTCAGTTTAGCTCAAAGAAAGTTCATTTCAATACAATCAAAAGCACAACTATACCTTATTAAAACAAAAAATCAACCAAGATATGATCTTAGTAATGATAAAATTGATAAGACATATCCAAATATTCATTTTTATTCAGGAAATATAGAAGTACCAAAAGATGAGTATTTGAATGTTAGTCAATATTCATTCACTATTAATACAAAAAATAAAGGTTTCTCATTAATTTCACACGAATCTTCATTACTAAATACAGACAGTTTGAAACAAACAGCAAGTATAATAGAAAAGTATGAAATTTCTAAACTCTTTTTCTGTCATCAAGGCAGAACATCAGTTGAAACAGATTTAAGTATGTTTATGAATGTCACTGAAATCTCATTAGATAAAGTTAAGAACAAACTAACATTACCATTCTCAGTGAAAAGATTAAATATGAAGCAATGCAAAGTTTGTTTTGTTAATAATGGAGTTCGATTAAAAGAAATTCGAGGATCTAAAGGGTGCTCTGTTAGTGGAGAGATTTGTATTGATGATTTAAAAGTATTTTCATTTGATAGTAGTCGTATTGATATGTCTTGGATTGAATATGGAAAAACAAAGAGAGTTGGTATTGATATTCGATTAGATGTTTTTGTGCTAAACAACACATACTTGTCTGGACCTAGCAGTTTATCAGATGAGGAAAAGTATGTTAACCGTGTGAGTGTCAAAAGAGGAAAAAGTCTAATATTAAGCAAGTTAGACAATCAACTAACCATTGACCTACATAAATTT